TCTTAAACCATTCATTGCTTATGCAGAGTTTCACTCTCAGGCGATTAATGTCAACAGAAATTTGCTCGTGCTTATAAATGAAACTTTTCTTGGAGGTGGAAAAACTTAAGTGTTTTCTACAAAGATTTTGTGCTAAACATTCCCGTTTGGCGTTTATTTTATCAGTTGCTGCGGCAGTTTAAGCGAAGTTATCAATCTTAATCGATTAAGAAATTTATTTTTATGCCAACAACAATTAATGCTTGCAATCAAGGGTATCTATAATCTCAACTTGTGTTGAAGGAAAGAATTTGTAATATCAGTCTCATCAAAGGATAAGATAGAACGGAGACAAAATTTGAAAATGGAAATACAACGACCAAGAGAAAAGGGTGATAATCTGAGAGAGTAGTAGAAAAGTTACAGCGCATAAGACTTTTTTTCTTGTTTTTTTATAACTTCCACCAAAATACCTACCTGATCAGATATGAAGATTAATTTATTTGAGAATATGAGATTATATATGTACTAATATAGTATCAGTTAAAATGGTGGATTTAATTATTAATTTATTTGGCTACACGTGAAAAATATATTTAGCTATCATACTATGCTTATGTTTACAGCTGAGTAGCAGTGTCACATTATATATATATATATATATATATATATATATATATATATATATATATATATATATAGATAGATAGATAGATAGATAGATAGAGTTTAGGTGAGGTGAATATTTATCCTAAAATACTTTTGTATATTATGGGCCTTATAAGCCAGCAATATACAAATTATGGTAATTCTTGAAATATATTTTGAAGAAAAGCACAGAAATAAAATAAACCTGTTGAAAGTGTTGTGTTCTGACGAGGAAGAAAATATTATCCCTAGATAAAAAAAATGAAATAAAAGAAGAACTAAAGAGTGACAGAGGACAGAGTCTTCGAAGGAAAATAACGGACGAGGGAGGGAAAATAACGGGACAGAGTCTTCGAGGAGGAAAATAACGGGACAGAGTCAGAAAATTCGAGGAGGAAAAAATAACAGGACAGAGTCTTCGAGGAGGAAAATAACAGGACAGAGTCTTCGAGGAGGAAAATAACGGGACAGAGTCTTCGAGGAGGAAAATAACGGGACAGAGTCTTCGAGGAGGAAAATAACGGGACAGAGTCTTCGAGGAGGAAAATAACGGACAGAGTCTTCGAGGAGGAAAATAACGGGACAGAGTCTTCGAGGAGGAAAATAACGGGACAGAGTCTTCGAGGAGGAAAAATAACGGGACAGAGTCTTCGAGGAGGAAAATAACGGGACAGAGTCTTCGAGGAGGAAAATAACGGGACAGAGTCTTCGAGGAGGAAAATAACAGGACAGAGTCTTCGAGGAGGAAAATAACAGGACAGAGTCTTCGAGGAGGAAAATAACAGGACAGAGTCTTCGAGGAGGAAAATAACGGGACAGAGTCTTCGAGGAGGAAAATAACGGGACAGAGTCTTCGAGGAGGAAAATAACGGGACAGAGTCTTCGAGGAGGAAAATAACGGGACAGAGTCTTCGAGGAGGAAAATAACAGGACAGAGTCTTCGAGGAGGAAAATAACGGGACAGAGTCTTCGAGGAGAAAAAAATAACGGGACAGAGTCTTCGAGGAGGAAAATAACGGGACAGAGTCTTCGAGGAGGAAAATAACGGGACAGAGTCTTCGAGGAGGAAAATAACGGGACAGAGTCTTCGAGGAGGAAAATAACGGGACAGAGTCTTCGAGGAGGAAAATAACGGGACAGAGTCTTCGAGGAGGAAAATAACGGGACAGAGTCTTCGAGGAGGAAAATAACAGGACAGAGTCTTCGAGGAGGAAAATAACAGGACAGAGTTTTTGAGGAATAAAAATAAAAGTGAGCCTTCGCGGGAGAGAAGAGAGAAAAAAAATGGCGCGCCTTCGGAAAAAATGGATGGTCATTGAGAAAAAAAGCGAGTACTTGGCAGAATAGTGTTAGTGCCAAGAAACGAAAATTATTCCTATGATGGAAAAAGAGGAAAGCAAAGAACAATACTGTGTTAATCGTTCTAGAAATAATAGAAGCTCTTCATCTTATGTGTGTGTTAGGGAACCGATTCAAAATGATGAGATGTTCACCCACATACACCCAAACATACTCCTTTCTCATGTAACCCCACATCAACATAATCCGTATATTTTCTATCCACCCCTGCCATGTCTTACTCCAATATCAATAGGAATACACTTCCAGTCCCCATCACCCAATTGCGACCACCACTGCAACTGTCACAACTTTCCCTGCAAAGTTGGTGAATCACAGAACCAGACCCAATGGACAGATGTCTAATGAATATTTATAAACAAAATCGAAAAGAGGATAGTCGAGGAAGTAAGTTATCTCTGCATCTAGCTCTCTGAAAGGACAGATTAGCAGGTCTTATCTATGGTTCAGTTGGAGTGGAAAAGGTAAATTTCTTTCTACTGACGTTGTCCGATAAGGTATATTGTTTGAAATGACCCACCAGAAATACTCTGACATGCGAAAGAAAAGAAGAACGAGAAGAATCAAATAATAAAAAGAAAGATATAAAATAAGAAAACGAAGAAGAAAATTTCAGTAGTTAAATAAGGAAAAATTCAATGAACTACAAGAAAGTAATGAGAATAAAAGACAAGAACATCAGAGTCGAAACAAAGGAATGACAAAAGGAAAGAGGAGGCAAGAGAGAAGAAGGAGCGAGAGAGAAAGAAAAGAAAGAAAATTTGAAAAAAGGATGCACAAAGATTACAAGAAAGAAAAAGGTTACAAGAAAGAAAAAGGTTACAAGAAAGAAAAAGGTTACAAAATGATCCTATAGCAGAAGTGAATAAAAACAAATGAATGAAGTTGATGAGTAGAAAGTAAATGTCTAAAAAAAGAGAAAAATTAACCAAATATACAAAATATTTAATGATGTGTGTGTAAGAACCAGATCATGATTTTGATAATGATAAAAACATAATGAACAATAATTTTAATAAGAATATACAATATCAGTCTCTGTTGGTAAGCAAAGAATTGATTAATGGGCTTCAGTATGTGGACTTAAAGGAATTATGTAATCTAATAAGACCTTTTGTAGGTGTTTTCATTTTATATATCTTGACAATAAAAGTTTATAACTAAAAACCAAGGTTACTTCATGAACAATATCTGTTTAAAAGTAAATAAATCTGTACATATTAGTTTTTACTATTCATGTTAATTATACTGCTACTAAAGTCTATCCACTTCAACAACACAGTGATTGAAATAACTAAAAATAATATGAAGGCAATGTTTAAGCTGAACTACAACACTTGGGCATTTAATATTATTGCTATGTAACAGTAAATCTTGATTCATAATTACTGACAATCCCTTTCTTACTGATTTCTAATGCATTTCTAGGATAAAATTACAAAATATATCTATAGTAAGATCATCATCAATGTATTGACATTAATCATATAATAATAATAGGTGAATTCTATCAGTAATGTTTGCATTAATTCTGGATATTGACAATCACTTTCCATGTGTCATTCAATATATTTCTATAGTAAAATCTCCAGTAAAAAATTTACATTATACATATAATTATTCTCTCAGTATTAGTGCATTAATTCCTCACCAGCAACAATCCCTTGCTTGTTGATTTCCAATACATTTCTATAGTAAAATTATTAACAATGCATATACTAACTATATGATAGTCCTATTTTGTGAATGTTTACTGAAATTGCAGCTTGATAATCTCTTTTCTTGATTTTCAGTGCACACCATACAGATTGAATGCCAAAACATTCTCAGCAAATTTTAGTTTTAAAATAACATTTAGTGCTTAATCAAAATTTTCCCTTATACCAAAAATATTTAGTTTGTTAGTGCATAAATAACTAAAGCTAACAATAAGTACTGAACTAATCGTAAAATCAATGGGTAACAACAAGAAGAAGATCCAAAATTTTGCCTACCTTTGGTGGGTACATATGGAGTCGGCTCTAAAATACAACAGTGAATATTGTTTTCAATCAGAATTCTGTGTATGTGTGTGTGCATAGACTCGGTCATTATATATATATATATATATATCTCGTGTGTGTAAATTTACTAAAATATTTGTCATTTTTCTGACAAATCCTACCCATATCATATTACAAAAACAGCTAATTAAATATTTTTATAAGTATAATTTTATTTCAGTAGAACATAAAATTTCAATCAATATTACCAGATATCAAAGCATAGTATAAAATCCCTACATCATGAAATTGTATGTATATTTATAATTGTATATCTGAAAGTAGACCTAATAGAGCTCAAGAGATTGAAAATAGGTATCATTCTCCAGATAAAATATATTGTCTTATACAGCAAAATGTTGTTATAAGATTTTAATTGCATTTACAACACCTCATATTTGTAAAAACTTTTGCAATTAATTTTTCACTTGAAAACCTTTTGTGATACAGAAATACTACATTAGGGATAAATATGTAATTATTTTTTTTTCATTATCATTCTACTTGTCAATATATCCATCTATCTTTCTGTAAGTTTATATTAGCTTATATACTTAGGTATGGGTCTATCTAGGTATATATTCATGTCTATCAATTTATCTCTCTATGTATCAATCTATATAATAATTTATCTAATATTATATCAATCTATGCACCACTCAATATCTATCTATGAGGGTGTTTTAAAACGTTACTGGCCTACTCACTTTTCAAAACTGATCCAAATGACAAGACATTGAATTTTGTGGGGAAATGACTGGTCAGACTGAGAAATTTTCAGCACATCCTTGTACAATCTTTGTCTATGTATACCTGTCCATGTATATAATTTCTTGATTTCAATGTGCAATCGTTTTTGTGTCAATATATATACCTGAATAAAAATATATCCCTCATGGATATACAAAATAAAATACATAATGTAACATCTATATAAGTTTATATATGGGACAGTGTGGATAGTTATTCAGTGAACTTTTACTGTAGAAGGTTTTATCTTTAAGTTCACTGACAAAGAGGATTATGTTGAGAAAGATGGAAAATAAATGATTATTTTATTATTAGGCTAGGGATATATAGAAATATCAATATAAGTATATACATTTTTTTCTTATTTTAATATATATTATAGATGATAGAGAATTGGAAATAAAGAACTCATAATTTGTAATCCTTAAACATTCTCCAACTTAAATCTTTAAACTTAGTTTTCAAAAATGTACTAAATGCTATTCATTGGTTAAGAGTAAGATGTCTTACTAAACAGATACTTTGTGAAGAATATTTTATTAAGTTTTCTATTTAATTTTATAGAATCAAAAACAAGATTAAATATCTTGAGAGTTCTTGAAATTTTTTATTTTCAGCAGTGTTATGAGGAAACCATTTAAGGTAATTAAAATTCACTTTTAAATAAATTTCCAAGACTAATTAAAAAAACAATGAAAGGATAAGAAACTCAGTGGATTATGAGGTAAGAATACCTGAATGATAATGTAATTTTACACCTGACAATTTTACCCCTGATAATGTAATTTTACCCCTGACAATTATATACGTAATGATTCTCTACAGTAAAAAAGAATAGCATTAAAAACTTTTACTATTTATAATTATGCAATTTACATATGAAACTTTTTTCTATTTTGTTACATTATTGCTAATTTAAATCAAAATATTATATTAAATTATATCATAGTTTTTTATGAATTATACAGTTTAAGGTGTATGCATGTGAGTGACTTAATAGCAAGTAGTTTCACAAAGAACATATATGAAGAGGTGCAGAAAGGTCTTCAGTTTATAAAATTTCCAGTACCATATATATATATATATATATATATATATATATATGGTGTATCTGTCAATCAATCTGTATAGATGATTGTGGAAGTGAAAGAGTGTATGTGTGCAAGTTTTGTCGCATTTCATGTTAGAAAAATTAATCACAAACAGTAAAATTTTTCCACTTTGTCATATAAAATAGGTATATCATTTTCTCCACCACACACACACACACTATATATATATATATATATATATTATATATATATGTGTGTGTGTGTTTTGTATATGTCCTGTTTTTGTTTATATAATCTTATCTTAATTCTTAGATGCCTTACCAATTTATTTCTTGGGACATTTTATTTTACAGCCTATTTTGGAAATTTGAGTTTCAGGTTTAAATTTTGCTTTGTGCTAATTAAATCTCTTATTGTTTTTGAAATAGTGGTAATCAATTTTATCTTAAGTTTAGATAAATTCTTTTCACTTGTTATTATCAAGTAGGTAGTATTATATACTTAATTTGTGTTCTTTCTTTCATGTTTTTGTGGACTTTGTTAGCTTTCCTCTTCACATTATATATGAAATAATTAGGATATTTGAGGAGTTTCAGTGTATTTTTATTCATTGTGTGGATTATATGAATATAAAAGGGGACTTTTACAAAAAAGGTATACAATTCATTAGTCATTCATCATAATAGATTTGCTCAACCTGTATACATTTTTTTGTGTTTATATATTTTAAATGTATCATTGTTAAATCATATTTCTGTGCGTGTATATAAACACTTATAAAGTTTGTCTCTTTTTCATATCAAAGTATAATTATTTATATTAAAAATAACATTAATTTGAAAAATGGAAATTAAGACAAGCTAAATCAATATGGAAGTGGTCATGAAAGTTTACAAAAGGTCATATAAATGGTGGGGAATTATAATATGATGAGATTATTATTGATAATCAATATTTTTTAAATAAAATTTATGAGTCAAGTCAGAAAGTAAATTCATCCTGTTTGAGAAACCTTGAATTCAAAATAAATTTAAATACATTTTGGACAAAGACTTGGATTAACATTCAGTTAAATATTTTGAAAATGGATTAAATATAATACTTCATAAGTAATAACTTTCTCATCATTAATATATATATATATATATATATATATATGTATATGTATATATATATATATTACTGTATTGAGCAGCATATAGGATACACTTTAGCATTATATATATTTGGAAAAAAAATCAAAGGATGTTTTCTGGGACCTGCCCCAAACCATATGGATCAATATTTGAAGATCCCAACCTTAAACTCAAACCTCACCTAACTTTATAGGATGCAAGGTGATTTTCAAAGAGATTTCTTTTTTTTTTTAAATGCATCTCATATGCTGCAAAATGAGGTATTTACATGATATAAATGTAGGTGTTCATATTTCCCATTTGGAATCACCTAAATGAATGGTATAGAAATTTATACATTGGATTAAACAAAGATACCATCAAAAAACAAATTTGGATAGAAAGGAAAATACAGAACTTACCAACTTCACTACTGTTATCCACATTTTGTGAAGAATTAGTGTTAGATTGACTGGTTGGTACTGGTGTATCGCCAGATCTTGATGATTGGGTATCATCTTGTTGATTAAAACTGAGATTCTGTGAGGGTGGTCTCTGAAAAGGAACAATAATATGAATGTAATACATGTATATAATTATCGACTTTGTAAGATTGAGCCTTCCAAATGGAAATTCTTACAAGAAAAACTCATCTAGGAGAAAAAAATTTGTAATCCACATTGATGTTCCCTTATAAGTTTTGTGCCTAATATGGTAAAAGTTCCAGTTGGTGGGGACATAGTAAAAACTAATGTGCACATGTCAAGTACATAGAAAATATATTGGCATTCAAAATAATAGCATTTTATTTGGACTCAGTCAACAATTTCTGAGAATGGTGGAAGATTTGGCTTTCATACAAGATGTTCAATTCACATAGTAGCATAATACCCATCAAAACTGATGGGATTATATACATATGGATCAATACTAGTACCTTCAATCAGAATAACTATTCATTCTGCATCTGACCAAATTGTGGCACCTTAGTTTTCTACTTAGCCTTTTAGTTTTATATTGCATTCCAGTAAACGTCAGAATTTTTAACCATCAAAGCAATATACTTTCAGTTTGGGGACTGAATTAATGACTCCAGATGTCAAAGCAAACCGAATTTGCACACCAACATTACTATCCACTAGATTGTTGTCATCTTGCATATTTCTGAACTAAAGTGGGTTTATTGTTAAATAAGATGTTACATTAAAGAAAATATGAATGGTCTCAAATTGGAGCAAATTTATTTTCTCTTCAAAATTCCAAACGTTTTTTATTTTTTCATTCTAAAAATGAAAGTTTCTGTGTTAGTTTTTATCCTGTTGATTGCAGCATTATCAGAGGAAAAATGTAGAACTTTCAATACTTCTTTCAAATTCAGTAACAATCAAAAGTCTGATGTTGACAAGTCAGTGCTATACACAAGATCTGGAACAACTCTGAATTGCAGGCTTCTCATCACAATGAAGACAGCCTTGTTTTGTTGTGATGCAAACGTTTCATTTCAGGTTTTATTCTGTGAATGATTACAAATTTTCAGTGCTTTCATATGTTTATGAAATTTAATTGGCATGCAACATTTCTGTGCTGAAAATTCTATAACAGATTGGTAATTAATATGTAATTAGGATGTTGAAATAAATAATAACGAACAAAGCAGTTAAACAGAACTTTATACACTACCTAATATGTGTGCAAATATATCTTTAATTCCACTGTTAGTAATGCTATTCAAATAGGAAACTTAACTGACCTTCGTATTTCATGGACAGATACGTCACACTGAAAATAAGTAATTTTAGAGCTTTAACCTTGACAACCCACACAGATGGGATAAGCAACAGTTTAAAAAATACTAATTCCAACTATTTAAATCTTTCTCAAAAACATTTCAACCGTTCTTATCTGTAGGGAGATGTGCTAAATTGACATCGCTATATTCAATGGGCACTTCGACGTGAGGTAATGGCCTTGTATCTCTGAATCAATAACAACTGGGTAAGTAGTGAGTTCGATCATTACTGGTTGTTCCATATTTCTGACTTTGTGCCACATTTAAATCGCTATATTAAAATGAAATGAAATTTACAGCTCAGCCTATTATGACTATATTGTTATATAAAATATGATTCTCAGTAGGATTCTAATTACTTGTCTTTTCTGCCACAGAACCTCTCTTATAAGTCAGTGAATGTTGGAAAATTTTCGTCACAATTGAAACGACAGATATGACTATATTATCGAATGTTGAGAATATCATAGAGAGGTTACCATGCAAAAAAATAAAGTTTTAAAGAGAATAGGAATTACAGAAGCAAAACAGTTATTACCAATCAGAAAGAAAAAATTGGAATTTTTTCGTAAAGAGGTGTGTAACTAGAAACAAAATACGGGGCATTCTGGTAAAAGATAATCGTTCAAATTCTGAAGAGACGCGATAAGGAAAGAGGGACGAAATTCTTAGAAATAATGATTTTTTTAAACTAATTATTTCATCATAATCAAAGAAAAATACTATACTAAGGATCATATTTTAAAGTTGTTGCTAACACCGTCTTTACGTTCAGTATTTCAATAGATAGTTTTCCTAAAAAGTGTGGATTATAAAAGTAATTTAAATTATGCATAAAGATTATGCAACAATTTTAAAAAAATTCCTTTTAAGAAAGGCATAGTGATATACACAAAGTCTCGTATCATTTTCATTCACGTGATGTTTATATCAAAAGTAGCTCGGCAGAAAAAAGTCTGCTATGATAATATAAATTCAATTTAAAATAATTATCTTGAACTAGTATCGACTTGAAACAAAACTCATTTAAAGAAAGACAGAGGATAACACAGCAGTTAGATTCCATTGCTCTCTGTTCGCAAAGAACGCACATAAATGAAAAGGATCTCACTCAATATTTTCATTCGGTGGTAACACAAATCATATTTGTTTTAAATGGGAATTCATAGGCAGTGTTGCAGATGTAGATATTCATGGTCATGTACAGATGTAATAAATGGCTATTTAGATGATGGATATTAATTTAGATGTTTATAATTGAAGTTTATTTATTTTTAAAGGAGTTGACCTAAAAGTAAATTTACCAATCACGTTCCTGGAGTATTTCTTTGATAACATTCACAGAAACAATGTTGACATATTTAATCATACAAAGAATGGCAAAAGCAGATTCTGAACGGCTATGATTTGATTATCAATATGATCAAAGTTAGTTTTAAAAAATTAAGGGTTAGGTTGATAAGTGAAATTGCCGTTAATATATGAATGTGAATGAGACTTCTAATACTACCGATTATCTTATAAATCCTTACAAAATACTGAAAAACACGATCTTAAAAATACAAAACCTTGATTCCGACAAAAAATCATTTAGTGTCACGTTTACTTTGTGTTTCTATCAATCCATAATACTTTAAAGACATTGTCCGTATACAAAAGGTGTCATAAATATTTTGTTTGGCTATTACTGTGTAGTCTATTCTCATGGTATCCAATTGTCTAATTTAATCCTGAACGACGGAAGTTGAACAAATAAATATACATCTTTATGCATAATCTTAAGTATATTTCTTGATTATAGATAAATGAAATGTAAATTTAAACGCAGAAACTTCAAGAATTACTGTTAGAAAATCTAAAGAATTCTACTCATTCTATGGAACAATTTAGATAGCAAAATATGTTAGATTTATTTCAAAATTGTGTTTGATACAGGACATTTTGCATGCATTTGCTTACAATTCCGATAGAAAACGGGTTTCATTATTTTATGGTATAATTTATTTGAGTTATATCAAACATTCGACACAAACGCACACACATTTCATTGAAAACGGCCGACAAAGATTTAATTAATCTTCTACTGAGATTATATAACTATGGACAATTTCCATATTCTTTAACCCCTGAAAAATGGAAAAATGTTAGAATACTGAAAAAAAAAAAGATTATTTAAACATTCTTTCCCGCTCGTTTTCAAAAAAAGATGCTTGAAAGAAAGGCTGCTTTCCCAATGTACATCAATATATATGTATGTATATATATATATATATATATGTGTGTGTGTGTGTGTGTGTGTGTGTTTTGGCATAAAATGTCACCGTAAATCTTAAAAGTATACAAACTTTTTTAAATACGTCAAAGTAACGGATTACAAAACAATTTAAATATATTTATGCGTAAATTAAGTCATAAAAATTAATATCCCAGCAAAGTAAAATTCCGATGCAAGTTAACTGTAAGAGACTTTTAAAAATATTTACCTAAAGAAATAAGATAATTCACAATAAAATCTTAAACATATTGATTATTAGTTAAGCACCTGTTCTTCTGTAAGTTCAATAATATCAGTAGTTATGCCATCGAAAAGTTAAGCAGAGTATTAAGAAACTGAAATATATTGTTATAAGCAAAGCAAAAAGTACTGAACTATTATGTAGTATCAATCCTCCTATATGGCAGCAAATGCCGGATAAATCTCCCCACAAATGAAGAAAAGACTTGAGGCAACAGACGTGTTTCTACAGAAGGGTGCTGAAAACAGCATGGACCGAACATGTGAGAAACAACGAAGTTTTACAGAAAATGGAAACAAAAACGGATATTTATACATAACGTCAGGAAGACTGTTGAAATTTCTAGGGTACATAATGAGGAAAGAAGGCTTGGAAATTTTGATATTCACAAGACATATTTAAGGCAAGGAGTACAGAGGAAAACAACGCATAACCTATCTAACGAGTTTGAGTAAATAGATGGTGGAACAAGGGTTAGGAGAGATAGCAAAAAATTTATGAAGATCAACTAAAGACAGGAAATTGTGGAGAGCCGTGATCGCCAACATCCTGAAGTGGCATAGCACATAGAAGAACTGAAATAATCTATAAAATATGAAAATATTAACAAAATCAAAAAGGCTTGATTGTTTGTGAAATTAATATTAATTAGCTAGAAGGATGGCTTTCGGAATTGCTTTCATCCACGTAAATAAAGCAGAGGGATTGATAGCAATAAACATGTAAATATGAAAACTAAATCTTGTTTTTTTTTGTTTATTAAATATAGAATACAATCAATAATGCTTATTATTTTCAATGCGAATAAACATTGACATAAAATCGCTATAGGTTTGAATTTAATTAAATCAAACAAGCCATTGACCAAGAACTTACTGAAGGTAAAAGAAGTGAGAAAAACAATGAGTATTTTAACTATGTATGTATGGTTGAATAAAGATAATAAAGGGACATAAGTTACTTGAATCACCTACATATTGAAGAGACATGGTACAGAAAATAGCTGATCTAACGCAGCAATACATACACGAATTAAAGGCACTCGCGCGACATACTAAATGTAAGAGGGACTGTTGGAAACAGCGAGTAACCTACTAACGAACTTGTTTAAATGCATAGCAGAACAAAGACTGGGAGTGACGATGAAAAGACGAACCTAAGAGCTACAAAAAATAGGACGTTGTGGAGAGCCATGACTGTTCACGTGCTGATGAGAGACGGTATATAGTAAAAATGCTGCTTCTCCCACC